AAGGCATAGGGTCGTAGGGCTTTCTGTGACCTTACTGGGGTGGGGAATAGTGCCTAGTCCAGTATAAGGCAGTTTTCTAAGTTATAAAGTTGAACCAATACGTTGCTTCTTAATGAAGTTCACTCCATTGGTTCTAGGAATTATCTTTGTGGAAAAAAAAAAAGAATACCCCTCCTCCCTAACATCCTTTTAAATTCCAAAATACAGTGCTCTGGCCTTTCCTCACATAGTTTCCCTCTTCCAACACCTTTATGAATCCCACATGTTGATTGGTATGGGGTCAGGGGAAGTCAGCATCCAGGGCTTGCTCTGGATCTGAGGGCACAGGGAACTGAAGATATGCAGTATCTCATCATATGCCTTGCAGCTAAGAAGCATACAGAAAGCAAAGCATTTACACCAAGAAATGCAAGAGTCATGAAAAGATGCAATGGCTCATCCACAATGAAATTGCACACTGTCTTAACTGAAAGGCATCTTGCCAAAGTTGGAAGGCATAAGCACTTCCTAAAATGGTGCTGCACTTCTATACTGGAACTATTATCTGGCAGCCACAGTGACAGAAATGGATGGAGGGCTGGAAACTATGAACATTCTCTCGGAAGAGAAACCTTATTATTATTATTATTATTATTATTATTATTATTATTATTTGTGTATTTTCCTACTTCTTTATCTTCCTTCCTTGTGAATTTATTTCAAATGCTCATGAAATAAATTCCCCTTAGGTGCCCAGGCCAAAAATTCCCCTGGGTAGTATTAAAACACCAGATATCCATCTTTCCCAAAATATAGGCTACAGCATACCATGGGACCTGGCCCCTGAGGACATTCACCTTTTAGATGGAATGGATTCACATGAAAAGCATCTAGACAACTTTACTAGGAAAACAAAGGAGAGCAGCTGAGCTCTCTGGTCCCAGCTAGTCTTTTCCAATTGAACAAAAATATTTTATGACATGGGTAGGAAAGATCCTGGCTAATTTTCAGATAACCCTTCTTAAGATAGATTAAGATCTAGGGAATATCTTCACTATGAAGACAAATGGAGAGGGGTCCTTATTCTCAGGAACTTTTGAAACTACTAATTGGCCAATGATAAAAGAGCTAGTTTGAAACTCTTTTGCCTAAAGAATAGCCATTTCACCAAGAGGTAGGTAGGTTATGGCAGGGCAGGGCCGGATATCCCAAATGGAAAGGATAAAGAGGTAGAGAAAAGTGGGCTGAGGGGCCGATGGAGCATAAGCACCTGAATGCTATGCTAAAGCTCAACAGAATTTGAAAGGGGCATCTGGAATTGCTAGGGTTTATGTGGCAGCTACATAAAGCAGAAAATTGGCAGCTGCAGCTTGTGTCTGACATGGGTGACACCCAAACAGGAGATGGGTATATACAAAACTGTTCACCACTTAACTTCTTTTTAGCAGTAAGTTATTGTAGTCTTTCTATTGTCATGTTTTGTTTCTTTTTAAAGAAACTTTTTATTATATTGATTTGGGCTTTTACCTTTATTTCGCAGATCTATGTTTTTTTGAATTGTATTGAACACGCAGCAGATGCTTCCTAAAATTCATTTCTGTTTCTGTTAGTGATTTTCTTTTTCAAAACTGAGTCGTTTCGCATTTTGAACGCTGTATTCTCTTCTGTCTTTATTGCTGTATCTCTTCATGAATGTTTTCTTCTGTTTCATCATCCTTGAGTAAAGAAAGGTGAATGTCAGCTGGGTGTTCTTCCATAACCAGAGTGACGGGTTGTGTTCTAGGTTCCCTCACTGTCTGCCAGGAAGTTGATTGAATCTTCTGCTCGTCTCATAAGCTGGAAAGACGGGGTTACATGTAAATTTCTAGTGTCCCCCACGCATCCAAAAGGTGCATTATTTCTGTGTCATTTCCTCTCTGGATCTGTTGAAACCACTTGGCTAGGGTTTTGCTTTCTATTTACAGCTTCCTGTTGGGTCAGAACTTCACACTGAATGCATAAATATGACTGCCCAAAGTCTGCCTGGCACCACTGGTGACTACATCAGGGAGAAACCTCTGAATGGCTGATTTTCTGCTAATTGTGGCACAAAGCCTGGGTCTCTCTAGTGGAGCTGATTTCAGTGCTACTCATTGGAACAGCTAAGTGAGATTCTGAGTGAAGCTTTCCCTGAAGGCCCCACTCCTGCTCTGGCCTGGGGTCCCAGCCCATTGATCACAAGGTGATATGAGGCCCTTCATGACTTGATTCTCTCAATACTGTGCTTTCTCAGGAGTGGGAATTGTTATAAAGTAGTGGCTATACATCCGTAGTCCATATAATGTCCTTAATAATTCCAATTATTTTTCAACTGATGAGAATTAGCTTTTAGTTTGTAAAAGTGGGAGAGGAAGTGTTTGTATGAGAAATAGGAGATTGTCCTAGTAAAAGGAGACGTGTCAGCTCATTTTCACGTTTAGTTGTCCTTGTATTATTAGCATTTTATTTTATCTTCCTCTTCTTGCCAGAATCTTTTTAAATTGCTTGTCCATTTGGTAAAGTTTGAGTTAGTTAAATCTAGGTCATGAATCAACAATCCATTTAACTGGAGACTCACGAATCCACTCCCTTGGAAGACCACTGTCCTATAGTATGCCTTAAAGTTTTTGTTTTGTTTTCTGGAAAGGGTATGAATGATAAATTTTGAAGTTGTTGACAACTGAGAATACCTTTGTTGGCCTCTTATGTACTTGGTAACTCTGTAGATATAGATATAAATGTCTTGAATTTTCCCATATTATTCTCAAAAATTGGTACTGTTATTAAATTGCTTTTTGATGTTTGACACGATAGAAGTAGATGGCCAGGACAATTTTTTGTTACTTTGTAAGTATTATGTTTAATTTTCTCAAAGATTTTCAGGTTCATTTCTTTATTCTTTGAAATTAAAAATTACAGTAGGATACATTTGATGTTTTCATTTACTTTTAAAAAATTGTATTTGATCCCTTTTCATCTGCTTATACAGATTTTACTTTAGCCTAGGAAAACTTATTCAGTTTAAAAGCTGCTTCTGTTGTTTATTTCCTGTGAAAGTTCTATTATGGGTAGATAGGGTCTTCTGGCTTTTACTTCTATTACTCTTATAATCTTTCTCATCATTTTCTTTGTTTTTGTCGTTTCCTCTTAGGTTCTAGAGTTGAGATGGGTTCTACTAGAAATTCATGTCAGTTCCTGGTAGAACCTGTAAATCCCAAATGAAGAGAGGCATTTTTAAGAAGTTGAATTTTACTCTCATTTTTGAGAGTAAACTTTAAAAAGTTGAATTTTACTCTCATTTTGTCGTTTGAAAGTCCAAACAGCCTAGGGGGTAGCTGGGCACCTTGAGGTGAGAGTCAGAACTGGAGGCAGACTTAGCCAGGAATGTGTTTTGCTAAAGAGCTTCCAATCCTTATTTGGAACAGCAGTCAGGGCTCCCTGCTGCCGTCTCCCCATTCTTTGGCAGGCTGCTTATCCCTTCTGTGTGAGTGACTGGCAAGCCCTTCCCTGCCAACTCCCTGTCCCGTGCTGCCTCTGAAATTCAGAACTCTTTCCAGTGCTGCTAATGGCATTCCCAAGGCTGACCTTCCCCTTCAAGCCTGCAGGGGCTCGGGGGGTTTCCTTTGCATATTTCCCTTTGATATATTGGAGATTCATAATTCAGGTAGAGACAACCTGAATCTAATCTTATTTGTATTTTATATCATTGAACTTCCTGGACATTTTTTTTTAAGGTTGACCCCCTTGCCTACTTTTTAAGGTTGATCCAAGATTTTTTCTCATTCTTTACTGTGGGTCATTTTCATGAAGATTAGGAAGGGAGTAGTTTATACCTTGACGTGAAGACAACCTATCTGAGGATATTTTGATGTCAGGAAGGTGAGAACAGATTGAGTATACCAATGGGAAATGGAGATTTGACAATAATTTTAAACATCTTGCTAGAATTTTTCTCATTTGGTTATCTGTAGTAATCAAAGTCATTGAATAATGACAGTAGTTGTAACAATTGCCTTTTCAAAGGACAACCATGAGTCACATACTGTAGATCAATTTCATTTAATCTTTAGGTCAACTTTAGAAATTTTGTACTTTGCTCTTCATTAAGATAACGCTCAAAGATGTTACATAACTTACCTAGGGTTGCACAGCTAATAAGTTATGAAGTGAATTTCAAACCCCAGTTTGTCTTCAAAGTCTCTACTATTTTCATTGCTGGTTGTCAAACAGCCTGAAGAGTTGCCCAATCTCCAAATCTCTGTGGTATTTACAGTATTCTCAGTTACTGCATATTGATCATCTGTAGTCATTTTATTGTTCTTATGAATACTAAGTCCTTCTCTGTGCAGATAATGTTCATATAAATAACAGAAAAACATGTTTTATTGCTTCTCTTGTGTAGTCTGGAGTTCCTCGGTTTAAAATTCATCCTCATATTTCCTTTTTTTTTTGAAATTAGGGTATTTATCTCCTCTCAGAGTGATTTTTTCCATCCAGTAAAACAATTTGCTTTCATCTATTCCTTATGTAGCCTTTTTGTGGTTCTCAGTGGTTTAAATCTTTTCATCTGTCTTGGGACATGCCTGGGTCATGGGGCTGCCATTATCTGGGGCCACTGCTGAACCAAGTGCCTTCAGCAGAGCAGAATCTCAAGAGGTATTTGGTGATTTTGCTGCTGGTCAGGCTTTACTACGTCCACATAGAACAAAAAAGATGAAAATTTGAGAAAAAACAAAATCATTGATAATTTAGGACTCATAAAGATAAAAGCTAGCTAGAAAGTATGGTCAGTGCCTGGTTGGAGAGAAATTTTTTCTTCTTACTTCACAATGGCAAAAATGTATACATTTATTTTATTACTTGCTCGTTTGGTCCCATAATTATTTTCCTTTCATATGTATCAGAATGAGAATATTCGATGACTGTAAAATATATCACCATAGTTATAGGATTATTCTTTGTTTCCTCTATTCTAATGAAATTGTATCTTTTTATTTTTCTAGATTACGGTCTTTGGTCAAACAATTAGAGAGAGGGGAAGCTTCAGTGGTAGATCTTAAGAAGAATTTGGAATATGCAGCCACAGTGCTTGAATCTGTGTATATTGATGAAACAAGGTAAGCTAAAAATGACAAAAGAGATTAGTATAGTGATGGTAAATTTTCTCTTATATGGCTTTTCTGACATTGTCCCCCATGCCAGGAATGGGGTGACATTCAAATTACTCATCTTGGAGTTTTAGTTTCCACAAACAAAGGGGATAGATTTGGACAAGTCACTTACTCTCTGTACTTCCTTATCTATAAAAGGAGCTAATAGAACATATCTCATATGACTGTCATGACAAGGAAGTGAGATCATGAAAGAGGAGAAAAACTAATTTTTAAAAATCTGCTAAGATTTTAAAAATCAGATGTGGAGCTCCATTGTAATTATTGCATGTTGTTAGTGTCAGTCTAAAAATTGTGTTTATGTTTTAATTCATAATGTCCACTAGTAAATGAAGGCTCCTGAAGTGATCGAGAAGCATGTGTTCTCTTATGCACCCAGCATTCCCTCTTCAGTCTTATGTGTGTCGCTGATTTACTTAGCAGGCTTATTGCACTTGAATTATCTAAATGTATTAAAGCGATTTCAGTTACTACATATGTTTGCAAGTTACAAAATTGCTTTTCTTTTGAAAAATGTTGCAATGTTGAATATGAAAGGTTTTTTTTTTTTTTTTTTTTCTAATTCAGACAGGCTTCTCTGTCAGTATTTGTGATGTCTTACTTTTCTTTGCCAAATTCCAATCTGAAAGTATTTCACAGCAATCTAAGATTTGTACGGTTTCTATCATTATTATTATTATTTTAGTGACACACTTGGTTTCTAATTTAAGGAAATTCGATATCACAGCTTTTTTCCAAATGTTGTATTTCCTCCGCTTACCCCCACCCCAATTGGTAAGTCTACAGGAAAAAAAAAAATCAAACACCTTTACGCTGGCAGCAACTTTTACTGCTAATTTGTAGTTGGGTTTACTATAAATATGCAATGCTATTTTAGGTTTTATTTTAACATTGCTCTTTGTGTTCCGTTCTAGTGGTCTGACCTATGTACAAGTTTGAAAAATCAGCGAAACACAGCTGTGACATGATTCAGTCATTGTGCAAAAATAAAGAACTGCATTATTTTGAAAATTTTGCTTGAATTTAGACATTTAAATTTTGGTAGCAACCTATCAAACTAGAAAGAATATTAATTGTCATCACTTAGGATCACTTCTTCAGAGGACTGGGTTGCTGTGATTTGGTAAATACTTTGCAAAGTCTCTAAGTGTCCATTTTTTAATAAAACAAAATAGTGCCACATGGTCCATCTATGAACTAATAAAAGGCTGCCTGTGAATGTATTTTTAAATAGAAGGTTTAAATTTCACTCAAAATGCCACAGAGTGCTTCTGGGTACAATGGACCAGTTCCTTTGTCCAGTCTGGTAAAGAGAATCATCCTGAAATATCAGTGGAGGCCAAGGCCATCCTGAAACACATATGGCGAGTTTACATAAGCCTTCCCAAAAAGGCACTGTATTTTTTGTGGCCAGTTTAATTTGGTTTCTTTGCACCTGCATGCAGGTGAGGCAGAGAGGAGCAGCTGTTTTGAACAGAGAGCTCCAACTTCAGATTTAATCTCAGTGTCCTGGTTCTCTTTCTTGTGTTCAGGAGACTCCTGGATACAGAGGATGAGCTCAGTGACATTCAGTCAGATGCTGTGCCTTCTGAGGTCCGAGACTGGCTGGCCTCCACCTTCACACGGCAGATGGGGATGATGCTCAGGAGGAGCGAGGAGAAGCCCCGGTTCAAGAGCATTGTTCACGCGGTGCAGGCTGGGATATTTGTGGAGAGGTAAAGATGTCATTCATTGTCATTCAGTGACCAAAGCAGCCAGAGGAACACGTTTCCAATAACTGGAAGCTTTGCTTTAATGTAGTTTTCCTATCTTTATAAATACTGAAAATTGTGGGTAGAAACAGATAGTCTTGAATGAGAAATGGCAAAAACATGTCTATTTTAATCTCTGTAGCATCATTAGGAAAAGCTTTTTGCTTTTGCTTGGAAGTTTTTTGTTTACCAGAGAAGATTTAGTTTCAGTTCAGTCTCTAATTTTTAAAGCAGGAAATCATCTCATCTATCATCTTTTGAAATAGGTGGATGGTGTCTCCATTTGGAACAGATCTGGGATGCTTTGAGGTTGCTGGATCCAGGGAGGACAGTTCATTTCAGTGGTTTGAAGCCCCCATGACACTCAATTTTATTATCTATTTTACTCTTTGAAATCAAATTGACCCCCTTACCCAGCAATAGATTCCAGAAATAGATATATTCTTCCTATAATCCTTATCGTGTAATTACACATTTTAGAAATACCATGGTGAGTTTAAAGATTACCTGGGACATTTTTCCTTCTTGTTTTTGGCAGTTCTAAAGAACAAGCTATTCTAAATGGGTTACCCATAGGAGTTCTTCATTCAGGTTAAATTACTACAGCGCTTACTGTCTATTCTGTACTATAATTCACTCTGGCCAAAGAAGTGACCCATTTAATAATTTAATTTTCAGTCTGGAGCCTATGGAGTTAGGTATTTTTCCTCCCAGTGGTTCTTGTGTTTGGGATTGCTTTAATTTCTTTTGAATTTAACACTTAGACCACCTGAGTGAATATAAAAAAGGTCAAAAAATGAATTTTAGGTTCTTTGGATCACCCCCACTAGACTTCTTATTATTTGTCAATACTTGGTATGAGTCTATGGATTACAAATCCTACTTTGTAAGATATCATGTTGCATTTTTCCCTTTTGACTTTTCAGAATGTATAGACGGACATCAAACATGGTTGGACTGAGCTATCCACCAGCTGTTATTGAGGCATTAAAGGTAATACAAGTGAAAAGATTTTACAATGTACATAGTACCTAATGAAAAGTAGAGTTAAATTGCTAGAAAATAAGAGGCTTTCATTTACAGTTACTTTTCCATTTATTCCTGACTTTATTCTTTCATTATCTTTTTGTTATGTGTTCTAACAGTATTACTGTCTTTTCACCCTTCATCTTCCCAATTTAAAAATAATCAAACTCTGTGTGGGTTTCATTTCTTTCTAGTACTCTAGAGTAGTTTAGGTTTTATGCAGTGATCTGTCATTATGAGATTTATCTGATTTTACCATATGAGATCCAGTATGTTATGGCTATAAGTATTCAACATTAGGAGGATCTTCAGTATTTGTAATTGCCCCATTATCTGATTACCTACTCCAAGTCCATTTTATAGATGAAGAAACCAAGACTCAGCAAGATTTAAAAAAAAGAGTTAATTAGAGACAGAGCTAATGTTTGATATCAGAGTTTTCGGTACATGGTAAGCTCTTAGTAATGTTTTACTGCATGAACATATAGCTCGAGAGTCCTCGTCCCATCTGTATATCCCATTGTTTTCCAAAGACTCTCATTGAGCCAGATGTTCCCTTAGAAGTCATACAAATGTTTGAGTTTAAATGGGCTAAATCCTGCAGAATTACCTCTAATCAGGTAAGTTCTTGGAATTGTATAGGGTATCTCTAGGAGCCCCAAAGCAGATGCATTCCTGAAGGCAGATATTGATGAAGATCCATTGGTCTGAGCGTATTTGAGATTTGCTAAACTTGATTTGGCTTCTGGATTCCAATGTGTTGCTGATCCTGTAGCCCAGGATCACTGAGTTCGTTGACATCACATGTTGTCTATGCATGGACTTGGGCCATGTGCTTAGGGACACTGTAATGTTTTGACCTTTGCTAAAGTCATTGTTTTGTTTCTCCAAAACCTGAAAAATGTGATGATATTTTCAGAAGCTAAATTACGTATTCATGGAGTTAGGGGGTGGGGAGTGCTTCTTGATTAATTTAATGTCAGAAAAGAGCCCCTTGGGACCATCTTGATTATATATTCATAGGCCTTTCTCTTGTCTCAGAGACATTTACTAGCTGAATTTTAGAGACCATACATACACAGATTCTCATTTATCCTTGTTTGTCTCTACCCTTTCCGTCTCTTACCTAATCTTAAAAGCAGGAAGGATACTCAGGAAGGACCCAGCAAGAAGACATGTCTTTTCTCCCATTCCTCTTTAACCCCTAATCTGATGCCCAATACATGAGTGTAATGTACATTTTAACCAGTGAAATCACTTCAGGAAATCTGATAATTCTTAATATCCGCTATGAAGTTGCACTGATTTTCATAATTGAACCTGAACGTTCAATCAAAGTCTTAGAAACATTAAAAGCATCTTTTGTCTTTAATTTTTTCCTTTATCAGGAACATAAATACAAAAGGGTATACTAGTACCAAGACATTTATGAGAATGTTGCTTCTAAATTGAAGCCTCTTTTCTATGTAGAATAACTGAAAAAGAACTGGAACAAACTGTGATGTGCATGAATTGTTATTTTATACTTCACAAAAAGAAATTCTCAGATGCACACATGTTGTCTGAGGGGACGGGTACTTAGATTATTCAGATAAGGAAGACCTACTAGCTCTCTAAATAAATTGCTACTTCTCCTCACATATATTGTTGGTATGTGCATTAAAGCTGAAGCTTCTATTTCTCTTGGCTGTGTCCCTTGTTTACTGGGGAAGTTCAAAGCTTTTTGCAATGTAGTATTTTTCCACTTCTCCAGATGCTAATTTTATTTGCAAAGAGTTGAAGCGATCACAGATATAGACTCTTTTGTTTCTTTCTTTATGTACTACATGTTACAAAAAAGATTATTTCCACTTCATTGCCAGAAGTTCATATGGAATCACTACTGTTTTCTTTTATTACAGAAATTTTCCCTAAAGACTGAGAGAATACAATTCCCTAAAATAACTCTTATGCTATTGTCATGTTAAGCTTTGTGGTTAATGTAAAAACATGACATAAAATTATATTTACATAAGAGAATAATGAACCAGTCTCTAAATTTCAAACATATTGCATTATGTTCTTTTTACTTTTTCCATTATATATACATGTATAGATGTAAGCTTCTAACTTGAGGTGTTCTACCTCTAGTCTTCTGAGATTAGCTTAATGGAAATGTAGCTGTGTGCTCTTCTTTGGAAGGGCATCTGTTTTGTGACTCAGGAAGTGACACCTTGGAAAGACTCCAGGTTTAAAGTGGGAGGAGATGAGGAGGTTCAGGCTTCCTTTGTGTTAGACTAACAGGAAGTTCCTGCAATTTCTCTGTAGGAAGTGTCCTTGGGCAAAATTTGGTGAATGAGGAAGAATGGTTGAAGGCAGTTAAACTGGGTACTTGTTAAAAATGCGGATTCCAGGCCCCACACCAGAATTCTCTGGAGTCCCCACTGGAGGATCCATATTTTTGCTGAGCCCCTCAACTGGTTCTGAAGAACATTAGACTGAGAATTACAGCTAAGCCTTCCCTAACATGAGGGACCAAAGAGGACATCCATCTCACTGTCTCTATTTGCTCATCCTCTTTGTTCTCTAAGTCCTGATATTCAGAATAAATTTCGGCTTTTTATCATGATAATCTCTTTATTTCTAGTGATAGAGAGCCCTTTCGTTTCTGGACACTAACATTAAAAATTGTCAGAAGTGACACAGCATTTTCCAACCTACTGAGTTGTCAGTGACTTTTTCCTTAGTACTAAAGATAAGACAATATATGTGACTCATGACAGTGCCAATGATAGTAACCGAGGTAAAGCTTTAGGTCTTGGGTTAATCTTAAGTGTCCTTGCTGTCTATAGCCTGGGCCTTAGTGGGATATTAAAGGGATAAGGCCTGGGTCACAGCACATATTCATGGCATTTACAATTTCATCTGTTGGCAGTGAGATCACTAAGCGTTGTTAGTGAGGTTATTACCTGGCTCTACTACCTTATGGCGCTAGACATGTCAGTTAATCTCTGAGATTAATTGAAATGTCTAGCGCCATAAGGTAGCACAGAAAAGGTGCTCACAGAAATGTACCTGTCGCTATTTCTTTGGTTATTTTAATGGAGGGGCAGTTATTGAAGACTTAAGTGAGGTTACCACTAAGTGTGAATTGGAATAATTCAATTGAAACCCCTCTGGAAAAGTTTGATTTTCCTATATACAATTCTGTTTTCCCTGAAAACTTTTTTAGCATCTAGGAGGGAGACCCTTAATGGCTTTGGGATGAATTTGACAGTTGGAATGTTTAGTCAGGAACAAAACTGGGATGGATGGATTATGTTGGAATTCAGTGAGGGCTGGGGTGAGAGTCACTCATGAGAACCAAGGTCTCTACCAGTGTACCATCTGACACCTTACCTGTAGGCAGTGTGGTCTCATATGAATCCTTGCTGTGAAGCTCAAGTCAATATGCTTCACTTAACTACAGGAAGTGAGATTTTGATGCCATGAAAAACCAAATGACTGTTGCTTTAACCATTGCTTAAACAAATCTTTGTTTACTACATCCACAAGAAGTTGGTTAGGATAAACCAAAGCACATCAGACTGTATTTACATACATTTTGAAGTAGCTATTTATAGGCAAAGACTTCGAACTTCAGGGATAATATGTAAGGTGTGAGTTCAGTTTAGTTTTTCCTTTTACTTTTTTTCAGTAAAGTCACTTACAGATTTGAGGACAAGATCCCAGACTAGCGACACCAGAAATGGTAGCATTTTTCTCTCCTGTGAAATGAATGCTTTCTTTTTGGTTTCAGCTCAGCAGTTTAGATTGATGTGGCATATTATTTTGTGTTCTGTATCACACATGTTTCTGAGCACTTCTAAATGAGTTAATATTCTTTACTGTAAACTTAGAGGAAGTCATTGGATAGTGTCAAGGGATTGGAGAGAAGTTCAGAGAAGAGGAGCACTGTAGCCTGTGGTGAATTAAACAGTAGCAGCTGCAGGGCTTAATGCAAAGCGACTGATCTCAGGCATCCAACCTATGTTTGTGTTCTGGCCTTGCCTGTATCCCCAGCACTTACTCACCTTGGGTGTTAGGGAAATTAGGTAATTTATCAATTTTCTTATCCATAAAATGTGACTAATATCTATCACTTAGAGTTGTTTTCAGGATAAATTACATATTTATCACCAACCATAATGCCTGTCATACGGCAGGTACTCAAGAAATGGCTATTTTTATTAGTAATAAGACTATTTGATTTTTTTTTAAACAGTAAATACTATGTAGACTAGCCAGATTGGAAAAAGTGTGAGAGTGGAAAGGCTGTTAGTGTCACACTGTGAAATCTCCAGTGAGGGCTGCAGACAGACTTGAAAGTGGGGAGATTGATTGGCGTGTAAGTGACGGTGGGCTTACGTATTCTTTCTCCCCACCCTGTCCTGCAGGATGTGGACAAGTGGTCCTTTGATGTCTTTTCCCTGAATGAGGCCAGTGGAGATCATGCACTGAAATTTATTTTCTATGAACTACTCACACGCTATGATCTGATCAGCCGTTTCAAGGTCAGTACCTCTTTAAAAAGAAAAATAAATGAACTACGTGCATATGTTTATCCTCATATGACTTTTGGGTTTAGTCTCTTTTAATATGCAGAATGAAAACTGCTCCAGGCGACTCAGGAAGCACCCTTCGGATAGCCACTGCTGTGAATTCCTCTGTGGAGGGTGCTTTTGATTGCGCTCTTGCTGGTGGGTCTCAGTGGCATGGGAGAGACCGGAGAGACCCATTTAGATTCTGGTCTTCCTGGAAGTACAACCCAGAGCCTGTAATAACCAAGCTCCCCATCAGGCTCTGCCCATAGGTCTCATTTCCACATGACTTTGTATCCTATTGGCCAATGCTGTCAGAGAGGCAGTAATGGAGACAGAGTGAGCATCTGCTGTCTCTGTAAACCTTTTTTTCCCCACCACTTGGCTCATTCAGACAAATACTATCACTCATCATCTGTGACAGATCATTGGTGTTTCCCAGCCATTCATGCTTCAAATTAATTCTTCAACTTTACATAAAGAACGTGAATTGTTTCCAGTGTTCAACTCCCTACAGCCTTCTAATATTGTAGACTCTCGAGGTAGAGTCAGATCCTCAGGGAGTTGATGTATTCATCTGCCAACATCTATAGTATCGAGCTCCTCTGACTTCCCTCATCAAAGGGATGAGGCTCTGGAAAACACAAGTCTTTTTCTCTACAGCATATTGATTTCTCCGGAGTTGTGGTTCTTTATATTCTCCTGGGGACTATGTATTTGGAGAGGTATCTATTTTTTTATTGCTACAAGTATTGTATATATTTATAGGGTACTTGTGATATTTTGTTACATGCATAGACTATGTAATTATCAAGTCAGAGTTTTTGGGGTGTCCATTACCTGCATTATTTATCATTTCTATGTGTTGGGAACCTTTCAAGTCCTCTCTTCTAGCTATTTTGAAATGCACAATACATTCTTGTTAACTGTAGTCACCCTACTCTGATACTGAACATTTGACTTTAATCCTTCTATCTAACTGTATGTTGGTACCCATTAACCAACTCCTCTTTATCACCAACCCCCTATGCCCCCACACACATCCCAGCCTCCAGTATCTATCATTCTGCTCTCTAACTGCATAAGGTCAACTTTTTTTTAGCTCCCACATGTGAATGAGAATATGTGCTATTTGTCTTTCCATGCTTGGATTATTTCACTTAATGTAATAACTTCCAATTCTATCTATGTTGCTGCAAATGACATGATTTCATTCTTTTTATGGCTGAATAGTATTCCATTATGTATGTATACCAGGCTTTCTTTATCCATTCATCCACTAATGGACACTTAGCTTGATTCTATATCTTAGCTATTGTGAATAGTACTGCAATAAACACGAGGGTGCCGATATCCCTTTGATACACTGATTTCTTTTTTTTCTTTTCTTTTTTTTTTTGAGAAACCCCCACACAGTTTTCCATAGTGACTGTACTAGTTTACATTGCCAACAACATTGTAGAAGTGTTCCCTTTTCTCTACATCCTCACCAGCATCTTTTTTTAAAAAAAAAAACATAATAGCCATTCTTACTGGGGTAAGATAATATCACATTGTGCTTTTGATTTTCATTTCCCTTATGATTAGTGATGACGAACATTTTTTTCATGTACCCATTGTCCATTATATGTCTTCATTTGAGAAATGTCTATATATCTTTGCCCACATTTTAATGGGATTACTTGTTATTTTTATCAAGTTGTTTGAGTTTCCTGTACATTTTGGGTATTAGTCCTTTGTCAGATGAATATTTTGCAAATACTTCTCCTATTTAACAGGTTGTCTCTTCACTCTGTTGATTGTTTCCTTTACTGTGCAGAAGATTTTTAGTTTAATATAGTCCCATTTGTCTATTTTTGTTTTTATTGCCTGTGCTTTTGAGGTCTTAGCCATAAAATCTTTGCCTAGACCAATTTCCTGAAGTGTTTTTTTCCTTTTGTAGTTTTATAGTTTTGAGTATTATGTTAAAGTGCTTAATACATTTTGAGTTTATTTTTGTATATGATGAGAGATGGGTGTCTAGTTTTATTCCTCTATATATGGATATTCAATTTTCCCAGAGTTTATTTCTTGAAGAAGGTGTCCTTTCTGTAAGTTTTCATTGCCTTTGTCAAAAATCAGTTAGCTGCAAATATGTGGATTTATTTATGGGTTTCTTATTCTATTCTATTGGACTTTGTGTCTGTTTTTATACTAATACCATGCTGTTTTGGTTACTATAGCCTTGTAATGTATTTTGAATTTATGTAGAGTGATGCCTCCATCATTTTCTTTTTGCTCAGGATTGCTTTGGCTATTTGGGCTCTTCAGGGGCTCCCTATATATTTTTTCTATTTCTGTGAAAAATGACATTGGTATTTTGTTAGGGATTGCCTTAAACATGTAAATTACTTTGGGCAACTTGGTCATTTTAACAATATTAAGATCTATGATCATGGGATGTCTTTCCATTTATTTGTATCCTCTTCAGTTTCTTTCATCATTGTTTGTAGTTTTCCCTAGAGAGTTCTTGTGCCTCCTTGGGTAAATTTATTCCTAGGTATTTTTTTTTGGTAGCTATTGTAAATGATATTGCTTTCTTGATTTCATTTTTTGGCTAGTGCATTGTTCATGTATGGAAACACTACTGACTTTTGAAACTTTTATTTTATTTTTTTTAAATATAGAGATAGGATTGCACTATGTTGCCCAGGCTGATCTTGAACTACTGGCCTCAAGAAGTCAGCCTCCCAAAATGCTAGGGTTACAGGTGTGAGCCTCTATGCCCAGCTGGTACTGATTTTTGTATGTTGATTTTGTATCCTGCAACTTTACTGAATTAATCAGATCTAAGACTTTTTTTGGTGCAGTCTTTAGGTTTTTCTAGATATAAGATTATATCACCTGCAGAGAGAGAAAATTTGGCTTTATCTTTTCCAATTTGGATGTCCTTCATATCGTTCCTTTGCCTGATTGCTCTGGTTAAGACTTCAAGTACTATGTTGAATGGGGTGGTAAAAGTGGAGATATTTATACTGTTCCAGTTCTTAGAGGAAAGCCTTTCAAAATTTTCCCATTCATTAACTGTGTGTTTTTATATATGATCTTTATTATATTGATATATGTTCTTTCAATTCCTGATTTGTTGAGAGTTTTTATCATGAAGGGATATTGAATTTTATTGAATGTTTTTCTGCATCTATTGAGATTATCATATGGTTTTTGTCTTTCATTCTCTTGATATGTGGTGTATCATGTTTATTGATTTGCATATGTTGAACTATCCTTGTATCCTTGGAATAAATCATACTCGATCGTGGTGTATAATCTTTTTGATGTGCTGCAGATTCAGTTTACTAGTATTTTGTTGAGGATTTTTCATCTATGTTCATCAAGGATAGTGGTCTGTAGTTTTGTTTTATTGTTATTGCATCCTTGTCTGGTTTTGGTATCAGGGAAATGCTGGCATTGCAGAATTAGTTAGGGAGAAGGAGAAATTGCCCCTCAATTTTTTGGAAGATTTAGAGGAGAATTGATGTTACTTCTTCTTTGAAAGTTTGGTGGAATTTGATAGTGAAGCCATCTGGTTCTAGACTTTTCTTTTTCAGGAGAATTTGTATTACTGATTCAAACTCATTACTCATTATAGGTCTGTCCAGGTTTTCTATTTCTTCATGATTCAGTTTTGGTAAGTTGTATGTGTTCAGGAACTTATCCATTTCCTCTAAGTTTTCCAGTTTGTTAGTACACAGTTGTTCGTAATAGTCTCTGATGACCTTTGTATTTCTGTGGTATCAGTTGTAATATCTCCCTTTTTCACTTCTGATGTTGTTTATTTAGATCTTCTCTTTTTTTTCTTTGTTAGTCTAGTTGGCACTTTATTTATTTTGTTTGTGTTTTCAAAAAAATCAACTTTTCTCATTTCATTGCTCCATTGCATTGTTTTGTTACTCTCTATTTCATTTAACTCTGTCTGATCTTTGTTATTTCCTTTTCTTACTAATTTGAGTTTGCTTTCATATTGCTTTCTTTTTCATTGAGGTGCAGTGTTAGATTGTTTATTTGGAATTTTTCTACTTTCTGAATGTACACATTTATTGTTAAAATTCCCTCTTAGGACTGCTTTTGCTGTATTTCATAGCTTTTGGTATGTTGTGTTTAGATATTCATTCGCTTTAAAAATGTTTTTATTTCCTCCTTAATTTCTTCTTAATCCAATGGTAAGTCAGGACCATGTTGTTTAATTTCCATGTATTTGTAGTTTCCAAATTTCCTCTTGTTATTGATTTCTAGTTTTATTTTACTGTGATCTGAGAAGACACTTGATATTATTTTGATTTTTAATTTTTTGAGACTTATTTTGTGTCCTAACATATTGTCTAGGCTGGAGAATGTTCTTTGTGTTGATGAGAAAAATTTGTGTTCTGTAGCTGTTGGGTAAAATATTCTGTAAGTGTCTATTAGGTCCATTTAGTCTAATGTGAAGTTTAAATCCAACTTTGTTAATTTTCTGTATAGATGTTCTGTTTGATGCTATGATAGAGTGCTGAAGTCTTAAACTTATTGTATTAGAGTCTATCTCTTCTTTAGGTCTAGTAATATTTGCTTTATACATTTGGGTGCTTCACTGTTGGGTGTGTATATGTTTAGAAATGTTATATCCTCTTGCTGAATTGATTCTTTTTTCATTATACCATGACTTTGTCTCTTTTTAACACTTTTGACTTAAAGTCTGTTTTATCTGATATAAGTATAGCCACTCCTGCTTGCTTTTGATTTCCATTTGCATGGAATATTTTTTATGTCTTTTTCTTTTCAGTCTACATGTGTCTTTACAGGTGAAAAGAGTTTCTTATAGGCGACATATAGTTGGATCATGGATTTTTTTTTAATCCATTTAGTCAGTCTATCTTTTAAGTGGGAATTTTAATCAATATACATCCAAGGTTGCTATTGATACGCGAGGACTTATTCTAGTCATTTTATTAATTAATTTCAGATTGTGTTGTATGTCCTTTCTTACTTTCTGATTATTTATAATTGTGGTTTGATGGTTTTCTGTAGTGGTAACATTTGGGTCTTTTCTCTTCCTCATTTGTGTATTTGCTTAACCAGTGAGTTTTTTCCTTTTGCATTTTCATGATGGTAGATATTGTTTCTTTGTTTCCAGGTGTAAGACTCCCTTAAGCATTCACTGTAGGTCTGGTCCAGTGATGAGGAATTCCTTCTGCATTTGCTTGTGTGGGAAAGGCTTTATTTCTCCTTCATTAATGAAGAATACCTTTGCTGAATATAGCATACTTTATTGGCATTTTTTTTTCTTTTAGGACTTTGAATCTATTATCCCATTATCTTTTAGCCTGTAGGGTTTCTAATGAGATATCTTCTGTTCATCTGATGAAGGTTTCCTTGTAAGTGACTACATGTTTTTCTCTTGCTATTTTAAGAATTTTTTGGCTTTGCTTTTGACAGTTTGACTCCTATGTGCTGTGGAGATCTTTTTGAATTGTATCTGTTTGGGAATCTTTGAGATTCCTGTGTCTGGTGACTAAGTCTCTTGCTACATTTGGGAATTTTTCCACTAGCATTTTGTTGAATAGGTTTTCTAACTCTTTTGTTTCCTCTTTGGTTTTGGGTACACTGAAAATGCAAATATTTTGTTGTTTAATGGTGTCCCATTTGCCACGTATGCTTTGTATATTCTTTTTTCTTTATTTTTGCCAGATGCATTTTTTGTGAAGACCTGTTTTCTAGTTCTGAACTTCTTTCGTCTTGCTTGGTCTAGTCTACTGTTGAAAGTTTCAAATGTATTTTGTATTTCATTAAATGAATTCTTCCATTCCATAATTTCTCTTTGGTAATTTGTATGATAGCTATCTCCTTGGTAAATTTATCATTAGTATCCTGAATTGTTTTCTTGATTTCTTTGTATTACTTTTATGTATTCTCTTGTATATCACTGAGCTTCTTTAGAATCGATAATTTGAATTATTTATCCAAGACTTCACAAATTTCATTTTGATTGGGGTCTCTTGCTGGGTAATTAGTATGATCCTTTGGAAGTGTCATATTTCCTTGCTTTATAAATGTTTCTTGTGTCCTTATGTCAATATCTGTGCATCTTGTTTAACAGTCACTTCTTTCCATTTTTAACATTTGCTTTCACATGGGAAGACTTTTTCCTGAAGACATATCTATGATGTTGGTTGAGTAGAGAACTTTGGCTTTGATTCTGGGTGTGTGTAGTAGTAGAGTCTTTGTATGATTCCTTTGGCTACAAACCATGTCAGCAGTGTACATAATTTTTTCAGTAGCTTAGAGTATAATTGTTAGTAGAGGCTCTGGTGAAGTTTCACTGGAGATGGGATGCAAGTTGGGCCTGACCTTGGGCCCCATTAGTGGCAGTGGTGGGCCAAGCATGCCTGTCCCATGCCTTGGGCCCCAGGGATTTCTACACTTGCACTGGTGTTAGCAGGTCTAACAGGCCTGATTCTTGGGCTTCCAGGTGGCTTGCTCAGGAGCCAGTAGTGGCAGCAGTGGGCCAAGTGGATTGGGGCTTCTCAGTACCCTGAACAGCAGGCATGAGCATTGGAAGTAGCAGTGGTGAGACTAACCCCTTGGTTCCAAGCATCATAGAGGTGACTACGACAGGCTGGGTGGGCCAGTCTCCAGGCTCACAGGTAGCATGTGCAGGTGGATCCCAGCTGTGATGGGAGCATCACTTTGAGTGGGCCTGACCTCAGGTGCTTGAGAGGAGTACTCAGTTCCCAATAGTGGTAGACTGGAGTGGGCAGTCCTCAGGCCCCCAGATGGTGTGTTGAGGCACTGGAAGGTGTGGAGCTGGGCCTGTTGGATCTGCAGCCCTGCTACCGTGGAGTATGTGGTTGCTTTCAGTGGCAGCAGCTGTATACAGGTGGCTGGGAGCATGCACTTCATTTGTGCTTTGGTCATGGCTGCAGCAGCCCTTCATGGAAACTGTTGCAGGTGGGGGATTTTGTCCTTACGGTACATGAACATGCATGGTGAGTTTGTTCCTGGAGGACGTGCAGTCTTTGCTGATGGTTCATACTTCAACCCTGGAGGCAACAGCCAGCCACAGTGGTGGCTGCAGGCAGAGAATGTCAGTGGGGCTCCTGAGATATGGAGATACAAGGACTAATGAGCCCCCAGGTAATGTGCAGTCTTGTGGGGGCTGGGCTCTCAATATGGTGCCTTGCTGTAGCTGGTTAGGGGTTAGGGGATGTGTGGGACCCAGCATGAGCTCCCTGTATGGAGCAATGTCTTCATGCGATCTCCAGGCAGCTCCCTATCTTAGTCTCAGGGTCTGCCAGGGTTTAGGCTCTTTCTGGTGGCTAGGATACAGGAGTCCAAGGAGGGAATGTGGACTGCTAGCAGTCACTCACTCACCTTTCTTTTCACTGAAGAGACAGCCTCTCCAGGCTTCCAGCCAATCCATGACTTGATTCGCTCTCCTTCTTTGCTTTAGGTGTTTCCTGTTACTTCTCTGTTGAATTCTAGTGTTGGATAATCTATTTGAAATGTGATTATCTACTTGCTATTTTGGTTCTTTTTTGTGGAGGAGGTGAGTGCCAGATGCCTATAGTTAGCCATCTTGAAACCCCTCCCACTGAGGAAATATGTCTTTACATGACCACAAATACTTCATGGCCATGGTCCTTAGGTCCTTAATTTTTTTTTTGCATCGGAAATCTGTATGAAAATCTTGTGGATGGTGGAGAGGATGCTGGAGACTTTCCTTGGAACAAAGTTCCTGTGCACACACACACAGCCCTTTCAGCAAATCTCGGATCTCTATAAAACAACCCAAGGAGCCCAGTTTCATTGGATTTTTATTTCTAAAAATGATAATGAATTCATCTCTTACCTCTTAAAGGTCGTATTTAAATTTTTAAAAATCCACAAATGGTAAAATGGAAGAATACAACCAAGGGAGAACAGCTTATGGAATCTCAGGAGCATTAACTTAGCATTTTCCTTATTATTTTTTTTTTTTTTACAAATGTAATAGTTAATCCTCAGGAGGACACATCCTCTCCTTTTCCCCTAGCTTTATATTATATAATTTACCCTGAACCATGGAATGGATCCAGAAAACTAATACAATGAATGTTTTCTGGATGCCCTTATTTTGCCCTTATTTTGTACATGCATTTTGCAATGTTCTTCACTGCAATGTTACATAGAAAGGAAGGCATGTATATTATACATATTTCAGATGAAAGAACAATTAATCTAATTGGAAATACTCTGAGTGACTGGTAGTTGCAAATAAAGGCTGAAGTATTTTATTCATTGAGAAATAAATGAATACATACTATGCAGCATATCTCATTTATTTGTAGGAAAACAAAGTGCACAAAAATCATAAGTTATAAAATTATTGCAAAACAAATATAAACTGCCTGAAAACAATGCCCTTTGAAAGGAATGGTTATATACATTGAACACATAAGAAAAACAAAACAAAATCAAAACCCAAAACCAAGCTAAAGCAAAACTCAAAACCAAAATGCGATAGTCTGTTATACATGGGAACAGGAACAGGCTACGTTCTTATGTTTGTTACTTGGCAATTTATTATTGGTGACTTAGAATTTGGAAGATCTCATTCTACTGATATTACATTACAAATAGTGAATGATTCCACAAACAGGTACTAATTATTAGTATTATTTTTGAATTCCTCAGTGTTGTTTACAACATTGTTTGGTGACCTGTGTAGCATCCTTTTTTCCCTTAGGGTTAGAGGGGAAGAGTAGATGAGGACAAGGAAATACAGAAAATTAACATAGTCACCAACAACTCAGTTTTCTGTGTGTGTATTAAAAATTACTGCTTTACATGTTAATAAAACTAAGTATCTTAAAATGATTAGATGTCATTTCTCAGGGATTCTGAAATCAGCAACAAAGAAAAATTTACAAGGCAGGCTATTCCTCAACCAAGGACTTCCTGTTAGATTTTCAAATTATCTGATAATTTTGTCAGTACTTTTTATTAACTGTGTAAAGTTCCAGCTTCCTCATATGTTATGCCTTCAGAGAAAAAGCAGTCCTGGTGCCTTAGACATTTGTGTCTCCATTGAAAGCAGTGAAGTCACTAGTTAATTAACCTTACTGCTCTCTTTCAGATCCCCATTTCTGCACTTGTCTCATTTGTGGAGGCCCTGGAAGTGGGATACAGCAAGCACAAAAATCCTTACCATAACTTAATGCACGCTGCTGATGTTACACAGACAGTGCATTACCTCCTCTATAAGACAGGAGTGGCGGTAAGTAGGGATAGGAACTCTTAAGTTCCCCAAAAGATGTAAGGATGAATTTTTAATGGTGACTGTTCCAATTCTGATGAGTTGGAGGCCACAAGTCGTGCATTGTTTTATGGACTTCCTGTTTCCCGGGAGTAATCTAACCAATATGGAAAGTCTTGGAGTTCCCCGTTGCCTCTGAAATTTTCTCCATCCTGAGCCTGATGAGATAAATACCTAGTAGTGATCTGCATCTTCACTGGGTTATAACCAATTTAAATATAATGACTACAACTAAATATGTATTTCTAGATATGGAGAGTGGTACTATTAACCTTTTGCTATGGTGAATAACAATGATATTCATGCATACTGAAATTGTATTCCATGTGCTTGGCAACCATGTTATGCAAAGTTAGCTTTTGGTTTAAACCACTAGGTCTTTTTCACAGGGACTATGGTTATTCACATCCTCTTTGTATGCCTTTGAGTATTTTAACCTAATGGTAAATCTTTACATCTAACCATTTGAAATGTTTCTTGCTTCTTTTGGCCCAACATTTTAGCTCTTTAGATGTTTTTTGTTTTGCTTTAAAAAATTTTTTTTAAGAGATGGGAATCTCAGTCTATCACCCAGGCTGGAGTGCAATGGAGAGATCATAGCTCACTGCAGCCTTGAACTCCTGGGCTCAAGTGGTGCTACTATCACAGGCTGCTGAGTAGCTGGGACTATAGGCATGCACCATCTTCAGTTGTTTTTGAATTTGTGTTCTGTATTTACTAACCTGCTCAACTTGGTTGTCTTTGCTTTTTTTTTTTTCCTTGATGTAAGCCATTCATTTAAAAAGATAAAGCCATTAAAGGCAAAAACAGGTCTGTATGACTTTTTACTTTGAAATTTCCTTTAGAATTGACATTAAGATAGACATACTTTGGATATAGTTATCAATTATTCCATAAACCCAGGGCACATTTGTTATCTTTTCCTTCAGTGCCTGTTGAAAGACTTGGCCTAATAGCTCACTGAATTAAAAATTGATTATGTGGGAGAAGTATGGGCTTTGGAGCTAGATACAGTGGCTATAATTCCCTTCTTAATTGCTTGCTAGATATTGTGACCTATGATAAATTACTTGAGTCTCTGAGTGAAGACTTCCTCATCTTTTAAAATGGTGAAAAATATTTCACTTTGTAGAAGTGCTCTGATGGTTAGGAATGAAGTATCAAAAATATTAAGTACTCGGCCTCCTAAAGGAAGCTCAACAATTAGGCATTATTGTTAAAACACTGCAGAATTTTCCTAAAACCTGTGATCATTTTTTCAGTTCTTCCTCATTATAAAGCTGATTTCTTAAAAATAGTATTTAAAACACGATCTTTGAAGTTAAGTTATAACAAGATTATAAAGGGAACATTTTTCACTCAATAAAAGATTTTTACCAAACATTTAGAGCAAGCATCATATTGAATGATTGTTCCATGAATACATGGAGCAAGACAGGGATACCCACATTAATACTCCCTCTTGGCATTTTTCTGGACATCTCAACCTCAAGAATGCAGTATGCAATATGACATCTTCAAAAGTTGAAGATACGTTCTGTGAAATAATGTGATCATCTCCTTTAGAAAATAAAATAAAACCCTACAAATTCTTAGATCAAATAAAATACCTCAACAGGTCTAGATAAAAGAATTCTCCTATGCACTGGAAATTAATGAGTGTAATAGAAAAACGTACATTCCCAACAGTTTTTAAAAAGCATATAAATCACCTATAAAGAGCTTCAAAAACAATAAAAAGGAAACTGTAAAACTAAATCAAAGGGCACAAAAATGATCCTTAAATAAATGGAAAAGGCATCATTTTTTAATGTGAGTGAAACCTCAGTACTATATAGATGTCAATTTCCCTCAAAGTAATTTATAAATTCAAAGAAATACTAATCAAAGTTTCAAGGATCCTTATATGAAACATGATAATTTGAATCTGCAATTCATGTAAAATAGGTATTTCACAACCTTAGAAAAGACAATTTTGTAAAAGAATAATCTAATGGGGAATAGTTCTTACTCTCTTAGATATTAAAATATCTACTGAAGCTGAGCATGTGCCGTTTGTGAAAAAATAGGCAAATGTATCAATAGAATTGATTAGAGTTTCAAAAAATAAACCCAAATGTTTATTGAGAACTTATATGCTGGGTCCTTTATTATAGGATGCTATAGACTGAATGTTTGTGTTCTCCCAAATTCCTCTGTTGAAATCCTAACTTCCAATGTGATGATATTAGGTAATGGGGCCTAGGGGAGGTGACTAGGTCATGAGCGTGGAGCTGTCGTGAATGGGATCAGTGCCTTTATAAAAATGAGTTCCCTTCCCTCTTCTGCCATGTAAGGACACAGTCATCTATAAATCCAGAAGCAGGCCCTCACCAGATGCCACATCTACCAGTGCCTTGATCTTAAGCTTCCCAGCCTCCAGAACTGTGGGAAATAAATTTCTGTTGTTTATAAGTCACCCAGCCTATGGCATTCAGTATCTTAAGCTTCCTAGCCTCCAGAACTGTGAGAAATAAATTTCTGTCGTTTATAAGTCACCCAGCCTATGGCATTCAGTATCTTAAGCTTCCTAGCCTCTAGAACTGTGAGAAATAAATTTCTGTCGTTTATAAGTCACCCAGCCTATGGCATTCAGTTATAGCTGCCCAAATGGACTAAGATAATGAACAAGATAACAAGATAGGAGGATATCAGTACTCTTGTGGAACGTAACATTCTGGTGTGAAGTTACAGATACAAGAGATCAATGGAAAGCAATCAAGAAAATGTTATTAATACTCTGTAGAGAATTAAAATAGAGGACCTACCCAGGGAAAGCTGGGTGTTTTATCAGATAGTCAGGAAATCACTCTCTCTAGAGATAGTATTTAAGCTGAGATAGTTGTGTTTTTTGGCTTCAGCCATGCTAACAGTGAAAGAAGAGTGTGACTGCAGAGTTAGTGCAGGGTTTTAGTACAAAAGTCTTGTGAGAGAATAACTTTGCTACATTCAAGGAGCAGAAGTAAGGCAAGCCTGGTGGGAACAGCACATGATGGGGACAGTGGTGCATTATGAGGCTGAGGAAGAAGCAGGAGCTAGACCAGGTCTGGCTTTACAGGCCATGCTAATGAGTTCCAATTTTATCCTAAGTGCAGTCAGTAGGAAGCCACTACAGGGTTTTAGACAGGGGAGTGATGTGATCTGATGAAGATTCAAAAAGGATTACTGTGGGGAATGGTTTTTAAGGCAGCCTGCTAGGAAAATCCTGCAGAAGTCTAGTGAAGAGATGCTGATAGTTTGGACTAGGAAGGATGCTGCTGGGATGGAGAGAAGAAAATGCTGTTTCTGAGACAGAGTTAAAAGGACTGCTGTGGTGAATAGGATTTGGAACATTAAAGTGGGGAATTGAGAATACATCTTAGATTCTTGGTTTGATAAACAGTTGACAAGAATGCCTGGTGGCAAACCAATTTTTGGAGGAAAGGGGATCAAGAATTCTGATTTAGACATGTAGAGCTTAAGATCCCTAGTAGACATCCACATACAGAGGCCAAGCAGAAAGAAAAAGGATGCTAGAGTTCCAGGGGAGGTTGGGGATAAACATGTAGATTAGGTAGTCTTGGGCATATCAATAGTATAAGAAGACATGGAACTAGATGAGATGATCTAAAGAGAGAGTGAATAGATAGTTAGAAGGGGCTCTGAACTGAGTCCTGGAGCACTCCAAAGATCAAAATGAAGGCAAAGAATTAGAGCCAACAATAGAAATTAAAAAAGAGTGGCCAGTGACATGGGGTATAAACCAAGAGAGTTTGGGGCCATGAAAGCCATGGAAAGAGAATTCTTCAAGAAGACCGTGGTGCATTGCATGGGACATGCTGAGATGGTCAAGTGAGACAAGGACAGAGAAGTGACCATTCACTCTGTCAACATGGAAGTCATTGTTGACCTTGACATGAGTTGTCTCAGTGGTTTGGCGAGAATGGAACACTGAGTAGAGTATAATGAAGAAAAAATTGCAGGTGAGAACATGAAAACTTGACTGTAGACAACTTTATGGGGAAAATTACCCAGTTTAGAAAACGTTTTGGCCACAGCTAGCTATTTAGAAAAAAACGGAATGCCTTCATTCTACTTTGAGTCATTCACCCCTCAAAAATCTGACAAATGAATTAAAGATGTAAATACAAAAGTAAAAATGGATCATATTAGAAGAAAAAATGAGAATATGTTTATAGCCTTGAAAAAAGACGTTCTTTTTAAAATTCAGCTTTGAAACACAAGAGTTGTACAACAAAATGTTGATTAATTTGAATATATTAAAGTTAAAAACTTCTGTAGGATAAAAAGAATCATAAACAAATTAATGAAGTAAGCATTTGGAGAAAATACATAGAGAGCATAGATTAAGATCCAGATTGTATAAATGAGTCAGGAAAATGACACAAATTCAGTCAAAAAATATGAACAGGCAATTAACAGAAAAGGTAATACATTTAATCGATAAAAGAAATATGAAAAATGCACCACTCATTAGTGTCCAAATATATATAAACTTATACTAATTTTAATCCATTATATACATATGGATAAAAATTTGAGTTTGATAATATTAACTTGGTTAGGAAGCAGGGCAGGGTTTCTAAACCTCAGCACTGTTGACGTTTGGGGACAGATAATTATTTGTCACTTTTCTGTGCATTGAAGTGTAGCAGTATGCCTGACCTGTAGTCACTAGATGCCAGTATCACCACTCCCCATTCCAGTTGTGACAATGAATAATGTCTCCAGATCTTGCCAAATAAACCACTGGTTGGAGGAGCAATAGTCCCAGGTTGAGAACCACTGATTGAGAAGAAATTATATTCTCATATACTGCTCATCTGAGGGTAAATTAGTATAGTCATGTAAGAAAACAATTTTGCAGTGATTGCTATAAGAAAAAATATACATACCAATGCTCTAGCACTTCCAAGTGTACC